CAACAACAACAACAACAACAAACTTCCAACTCCTAGAATTCTTCCCACTTGATGTTGCTGAGACTTCTGGGAGCTGTCCAAACAACTGGAGGACATGGTAGGACAAGGTTGATCTAGGATGTGGGGGATTATTTGGGGATGAAGCTAACTGTGACCCTTGTCCTGGGCTCAGCCTCTCCCATTTCCATTTTGCTATTGTCTCAGCATAGCATTGTCCTTTGGCCCTAGAAAATTCCCTAGTCAGATTGATGGACTCAACTAAATCTTACCCTTTTGGCTTGCAGCCAGATAAGGCAATGCTGATCCTAAAAGAAGTAGAAATAAAAACACAATCAGATCTGTACTACATTACTCACATGTATAAATACACATACATACATGCATGCATGCAAGCATTCTTTACTCAGTGGTTTTAAAGTGAGAATGAGCTTGAGAGTGTTACTCCTGCTCCGGATATCATCGTTTTCATTGCTTTCCCTGTGTGACAGGATTACTGAGTTGTTCTGGGGCTACCATGCAGAAGAGAAGCCCTCTCTGGACCCACTGAGTAGGAGACTAAAGTCAATGGGGGTGTGTCAAGTTGGGCTTTAGTTTTAGAACTGCGAGTGAAGACAAGTCACCTTGAGGGTCATTTGATCCAAAGGTAGAAGATAGAAATACAGATAAATATTCAGAGATTTTAAGAAGCACCAGCAGTTGTTTTTTAAATTGGCTGTGCAATGTCAAAAGGGGAACTCAGAATAAGGAATGGGAATAATTTTCAGATGAGCTTGTACATTTTTGACATGCGAGTTCCTCTTGGGCATAATCTTCTTGAAGAGGATGGGACATGTGCTGACGGCAGTACTTTCTGTAATGTTTCCATGGTCAGAAGGCAGCGCCATCCTGTCCACCCACCCTGCATAGCCACTGTGTGCTGATCTCTGCTGCAGTCTCCTTATAAACACCAAAACTGAAGCAGCCTCCTTCAAGCTTCCTTCTCCAACCAGATGCCCTCCAGATACATTAGGACTACCATTCCCACAATGGCTGGCCAGCAGGACCAAGAAATGGCTGGCAATTCTCCAAGCTATCTGGAAAATGCTAGAGTGAAGAAGGATACCCCAGAGATTGATTTGCCGTTTCTTTGCACTGCAAATAATTTACTTATTTATTCGATACCTAGGACATGTTAGGCTAGGCTAAAATGGAGTTGGGTAATTTCTGGTTCAGTATGTTGTAAGAATTCAGCTCTTATCTTTGTATGCTATGGAAACCAGTTCACCATGTTAAGACATCACATGGTTTATTGGGGCATTGTGTATTATGTGAAGATGGTCACTGTATTTTATAGCTTTGGCTGAGGGTTATCATGTTGCATGAACAGCCAGATCATGTAGCCACATGAGTTCTTTCCATCCCATTGTGCTTCATAGCATTAAAATTTAAAAACAATGTAAAGTCACTGATAAAGCTGGTTAGTCCAATTAAAAACATGTTCTTATTTTTATTAACTACATATACAGTTACCATTTGTTACCCTTCTTTTTTTAGGTTAAAAAGCCACTTAGGTGCTCTCAGGTTTAAACTGAGATGGTCTCATTTTAAATATCCAGCCCGGATATCATATGATACTATTATGAACTGCCTTAGGCTGTCTGAACGGTAGATAGACTAAAGTGTTAACATGAATATATTTAAATGCTTTTTATCTTTATGAAGATAGCTTAGTAGACTACTATCACACAAAACTGACCTGAAATTTAACTTCCTTTTCGGTAAATTAAAATGAGGCTTGATCTGCCATTTGCAGGAAAAAATACCTGATTTTTGAGATCTTCACTTACCCACTGCTAGTAGAAGGAAAGTATAAAGGGTCTTCATCCTGTTCCTTTTTTGATTAAAGGAATGTCTGCAAGTTTGTTACAGTGATCTGTGATGCCTTCCTTTTCTTGCACAATGAGAAAAACCAAATGGGTGTTGTGTATATATATCTGTACACAAAGACACATATATGCATCTGCCACACCTAGGTTTACAAAGGCAGCAAAGATTTGTCATAAAGGAAAGGGGACCTTAACCAAACCAAAACACTGTTTGCACACTTTAATCCATTGTATTTATTTGCCCATCTTTTGTGAGAAAGAGTCAACACCAGAATTGATGGGCAGGTCAGCATCCTGGGTTGAATCAGAACAAAAGGAAGAAATGTTCACAGCTAATAAATACAGAAAAACAACTTAGCATTCATCTTGTTCCAGGTGCTGCGGGGCCCTGAATGCCATAAGAAAGTGCATCTCAGTGGGGGCTATCCTGGTCAATCTCAAAAAGCTAAGCAGGGTCAGACCTGTGATGGAAGGTGTGAGCGGGGAGGATTCTGGAATGGAGCTTCCAGGTTACAGGGAGGGGGGAGAGACTTTCCAGGGCAAGCGTCTCCTCAGCCCCCAGCTGGACTGTGTGAAGGTCAAGAGAATGAGACTGGACCCTCCCTGAGGGCATGATGGTTATAGTTGCTGTCGTTGGGGGATTAGAATTAGTCTGGCGAGATT